CCACTAAGACAGAGGAGTTCACCAAGGGGAAACTGCACAGGTGGAGATGGGGGTGGAGGCGGAAAAAAAGCGAGAGGAGAACGGTTGTGATTAGGAGCAGCTGAACGAGTCGTTATCCCTCAGTTTGAGTCGAGCAGTTTCGTGTTTGTATTTTGTCTGACAGATGCATATCGATCAATGTTATGAGCTGAGTTTGTCGTTTATAAAAAAAGGATTAAATGAACAAAGGTCTTAGAAGGCTGAAATCAGTGCAGCTCTGTACAGAGAAGAACATTTTTTACACTGCGTGTATTTTATAAACTGTGGACTGTGGAAGCTGCTCTATCATAAATGTGAAATGATCAATATTATAAAATCGTAAATACAAGAGTAGCTTATCTCTGTACAAGCCGAATGGCTTCCTTTTGATTATAACCTGTGCTGTAGAACTACCATGTATGGACTGAAGATGGCGACAATAGTCTTTAATAGTCTGCTCAGCTATAGCTGTGCGTTTCTCTCAGAGCTATATCTGAGCAGGTCAAATGAATGGACAGCAATTGATATCCCGCAGCCTGATCTGTTCCTCTCGATTTCTTAGTTTTTGTATAAAAAATAGTGTCTAACTGTAAAAGCGGTTATAAGCTTAATTATAGTTGTAGTTTCAAGACTGCAAGCAAACGCGTTCGGTTTTCGTAATTACTTACGGAATTTAAAACATCGTCTCTCGGTGCCTCTGAATGAGTCCGGATGCACCTGGAACGTTACTGTCAGCACAAAAGCTTTTAAGAAGTATTTTACGGTATATCTGTGTGAAATAATTTTGATCATAGTGTATACACCCCCTTCCAAAATACCAGGGAACGCGGTTTTCCAAAAGCTTTTTCTTGTCTGTCTGAACTAGTGGACTGTTAGCGGTCCAGCATGAGGGATGGACCTCAACCTGATCACGTGGCTCTCCAAGTGACACTTCAGAGGAGATCAATTAGTTATTTTCTAGACATACAAGTACTCTGTAAAAAACAATTACAGCAGTGGTAGAATTCAGTGTTTTTTCTTTAATAAGTATTTGTTTCATTAAATTCTATTGACTTAATAGATGTGCATTTTTAAATACAAAACCCTTTGTTTTAATTCTATTTATTATTATTATTATTATTATTATTAATTATTCACTGGGGAACAATTAGGTGTTTTCAAGAGATACACGTGCTCTGTGCAATCAATTACAGCAGTGTAAATATGAATCGTTCAGATGAAGCAAATATATCTTTTGTGAAGTAAAATCTGCTTTGATGATTTGTTACAAGACTTAGTCATTTTTAAATTCAAAATCCTTAGGTCGATTTCGAATTTTATTTTTACATCTTGAAAATCGCAATGTGTGAGACGTCCACAATTTTTCAATTGGCACATTTCATAGCATCGTGAGATGAACACGTTCTGCTACACAGTAAGATGGAAGAGAGCATATGGTTTGGTTTTCAAAAGAAATCAAATTTAACACTTATTTTCCATATGACTCCCTTCCTGACTTCATGTGTAGTTTCCTCTCCAAAGCTGAGATAATTAAGAATGTGATTGAACAGACTGTTTGAATCTGAATTCCAGACACTAAAGACACTGGGAGTGACGAACGAGAGACAGAAAGATAGGAATCAAAATGAAGATAAATTAATAGTCTCCGATTCTTGTTAAATTCGCTTTTACTACTATAAAAAGTGGTAGGAGAGGGTTTTCCCATGTGATTGAGCTCTTCAGCAGACACGGTGAGAACAGAAATTCATAAAAACATCTCCCAAACTCCATCTGATTTATAACGTGAGAATATTTATTTTTGAAAAATACTTTAAAATATTTTTGAAAAATGAAAAGAAGTTTCCTGATATGTAGTCTAATATTCTAAGGAAATTCAAATGTTCAAACAGCAGAAATATTCTGACTCAAGTCATCAAACGTATTGAGGTTTCACAGGGTGCGCGACTCTACAATTTTGTTCAGTTATAACGCCGATGACGTTTTCAGTTTCACTTCGTAATATTCAGCTATTTTGGGGACTTTTTGCATCCGGGCCGGTCCTGGAAAACAGAAAAGATTTTTACAT